TGAAGTCTGTTCCCCTCCAGTGCCTGCTCCTACTGAGATTACCTAAACCTGGCTCCTTGTTCAGCTGTATACAATAAGTGACCTCTTGTTTGGTTTTATGCAATAACCCTGCCTCCCTACCATACTCTATGTATGGTAAACTCACTGAACTTCCAGGGTGCTGTGGTTTCTCTATCAGAAACCACATCCCAACTTTTCTGTGTGTTCCTGTGCCCCTCTTTTCTTCAGTCCGTCATTGACCCCATCAGATCAAGTTCTCCGAGTTGTGCAGGGATGTAGCAGCTCAGCCTTGCCAGGTTTCCCTGGTTACCACAGTCAGCTCACACCGACTGTCCTATCATGTTCTCCCATGATCTATTCCCCAGAAAACTGAATGTAAAACCACCAGGCTGGAGCACAAGAGAGACTCAGTGGTTAAGAGCACTAACTAACCTTCCACCGGACCAGAGTTTGATTCCCAGCACCACATGGCAGCTCACAACTGGCTGTAACTCAAGTGCCAGGGGCTCTGACACCCTCTTCTGGCATTTCTTGGCATTACATGCACCTGGCACACTGATATTCGTGAAGGCGGAAACACATCTATTTGCATAAAATAAAATGAAAAAAAATCTACCAGGCTTAACTGTCTTTGGGTATTCATCTCTGTATGCCTCCTGGATCTTTCGAATCATATATCAAATCGATTTATAGCCTTTTCTTGTTAATCTACTATTCAGACCTAGGTAAGAGCCAAAAGGACAAAGAGGGAAAAAAGGTATTTTCCTTTCCTCTAACATGCCATGGTAGTGCCCACATGCATGCTTTTGATGTGTAGGAACATAGTGGCAGAGTTTGCTGTCTAAGATGACAGACAGTTTTTGATACTTCTTGTTATGTGAAGATGTTGCAGTACAGCCTCAGGGATGGAAAGGGAAGCCAGTTTACCTCCCTTGTAAACTCTATCTTGTCTCCTGGGGATACAGCCTCTGCAGCCATCAGTCTGGGACCCGGGAAGACCATTACCACAGACATGTGACATCCCAAACTGCCCCACACTTGCCTGACTAGGCATTGGGCAAGTCTGGGAGCACAGGTTGCCTGTTGCCCACAGGGTCGAAGAAGCGATAATACTTAAATTACTAGACATCAAAAATTAGTATTTTTAGGTTTTGTTGTCAATCATTTTGCTAAATGTCTGTCTCCGCAACAATGCACTTGATCTCCTGTATCTAACCTACCTGATTAGTGAGTATTGTTATCATGAACCAAATCACAGTGGTCTTTATTCAAGGAAGAACAAATTATTGAATGATACTTGTTAAAGCACAGTCAGGCTGACTTTGTTCAGAATAATGGTGACAGGCATAGAACCATGGCAACAAGATCTTTCTGTGGGGAAGGGATCAGGTTCAACCCTGAACGCAGCCAGGAGTCAACCGGGAACTGATATTCAGGAGCTGGGGGGTGGGGGGGGTAGGGGGTGCCAGTGGATGGGATCCTGCTAAAATACCATGTCAGAGTTAACAAGGTGCCATGCTGTGCTTTGAATGCAAAAGGCCAGTGGGGGTGGGCCTTGACTTTTATAACCCAGACCTACTTGCAATCCTATCTTTGCTTCCTGATCCTCTGGAATAAAGCAAGCTCTTGCCATCTTTCTTTCACCCCCAGGACTTTCTTGCCAGGATGCACTCCATCTCCCCAGATTGTTATCTAGATAAATCCTTCCTCCCATAAGCTGAAATTTTCAGGTGTTTTATCACAGTATCAAGAAAAGTAGCAGGTACAAGAAGATTTTGGCTAAACTGATCTACCAGGATTATTCAGAAGTCAAGGTGGTCAGACATTACTGAGTAAGTATAAACCTGATCAGATAGATATTCAGCATCCTCAAGTTTAAGAGGTCTCTTTACCAAAACTGGATTTTACAGGGAAATGGACATCATTTAGGGCCCTGAGATAAGCTTATAAACTCTCACTAAGGTTTGGCCAAGCAACGAATCTTAACAGTTAATTTGAAATCTGTTTTATTAAAATATTGACTTGCCTCTGATTTATTTCTAGTGTTGTGCTAATACCGTTCAGTAATCCTATTCCCATGATGTTTATAAATGACCCTGCCTGAGCCTCAAAGGCGCTTGTGGAATCGTTTGTTTTAGATTGAGCTGGGTGGACACAGATATCTTAGAAGGCGTATTCCTGCAATTACCAAGCTCTTAACCATAATTGGAGACTAAGCAGTGAGATATTAAATCTAATTTCTTTTGGGCCCTTTATTAGCTGAGAGGGGTGTTTTGTGCCTGAGAGAGGAGCAAACAGCTTGATGGTGCCTGCTCTCTGACACTGGCACTCGATGGCACGGAGCAGTATTAAGTCAGGAAATATGAGGCTCCTGGAGAATCTTCCTACGGGTGCCTCTGGTTCACAATACATGCTCTGAACATAGGCACCGAAGATGTCATAAGTTGAAACACACTTAATACTTCTAACCAGTTCAGCTTCGAGGTTAGCAACCTGAACACCACAGTGTCAGTGGCCCAGCATTGATTGAGTGCTTTCTGGTGCTTCAGGAAGTCCAAATCCAACCCTCAAAGTGCAATTTCTGTGCAGTGGATGGTTCTCATGCCACTGCCAAACTGGAAAGCTCTGGGCTGAACCTTGTAAGGGAGAGACCATCTTGATTCTGAATGAACTCCATATCCATCATTTGAAGTGAAGATAGTGAAAATGTCACTGAATGCTGGAGACAGCCTGCGCCTAGATGCCACATGCTGAACATATATGCTAAGCTTTCTGGATGCCTCTCCCTCTCTCTGGAGTCTCAGCTCTGGTCCCTTCTGTTAAGATCATTATCACTGACAACTCTGACTCTGCTTCTTCTAAAATCCCAAACTGCTGCAACAAGGGGAGGTGTGCCTCTTGTGGAAGAATGTTGTGAAGAAGTGAGCTGCCATAGAACCTGTTCTTGGAGTCACTCTCCTGGGTTTAGGGTATTGTCCTAACATTATCCCTCTTGTTCATCATCACACACACACACACACACACACACACACACACACACACACAGAGGACCTATCACCAGTCACTATTTCCACAAGACGGTGTCATTTTCTGCTGTCCTAGAGAGCCAGTTAAGGTTGGGAAATGTCCATATTGTGTTGTTTATCGCTCTCAACACATACTCAGTCAGACTCTCTTACATAATACACATCGTCTCTTACACACAGTCTCACACAGACATGACACAGTCAATTTCACACACACACACACACACACACCCCACCCACACAGTACTTGAGTAGCTTTGTGCCTCTACCCTTCCTTAGTACAATGTACACTAGGTAAAACCATCATCCATTTTTTTATTACTATGGAGGATACAAAAGACACAGGTGTGTGTGTGTGTGTGTGTGTGTGTTGAGGTCGAGCAAACTCTCCCTAGAGCAGTCATTGAGGGTCAGATGTTCTAAGAAAGCTGTCATTAGGACACAAGATTTCAGCTTTGCTCCTCTCTCATCAACTTTGATTCACCAAGAAAAACCAACAATAAGCAAAACATCAAAGGAGGCGAGAACAGGTTCTGTCTTGGACTATATCCCTGTTAATTTGGGAACTGCTGCATTAAATGCTCTGGTGTTAAAAATTAAGGCGCCATTGGGAGGCTCAAAGAATAAATTCTCCTTTACATTTCAAGTTTCTTTTCTTTCTTGTCAAAAGTTTGATGTTGTTTGTTTGTTTTTGTTTGTTCTAATGACGACTTTATCTTGAGGTTTGGGGTCTGGCTGTAGGAAATCTCAGTTAACTTCAGTAGTAAAGCCAGGTCCACTCACAAGTGGCCTGAAAGAACCAATGGGCTTTTCAATACTGGGGTAAGTCAGTGTTTTTCTGGAATACTTCATTTATTGTTGTGATTGGCATTTAAAAGTAGAACAGTTTCGAGAAAGACAGTAAGTTTCTGAGCCAGAGGCAATGCCAAGGCAGTCCATAGTTTTAGTTCGTATTGAAGGGCTAAGGCACACTCGCATGCACTACCCAGGAGACAATAATTATACCCAAGAGACCCATCCAGTAAGACAGCAGATAAAGTAGCTGGGCTTGGGCGGGCTGAGGCAGGGGCTATTCTAAGATTCGAGGTCAGCCTGGCTTCCGTAGCCAATGCCAGTACAGCGTGAGTGACAGCCTAGGCCAGTGTCTCAAAACCAAAACCAAAAGAAAGCCAGAAGTAACGTGTTCGGCGCCTCCCTCATTGCTTAAGAGTTTAAGACGGAAAACAAAAGGAAGAGCTTCCCATACGGGAATAAAAATCAAACCCGGGGCTTATTATAAGTAACGGCAGAAAAAGAGAGACGGGCAAAGAGGCAGTCCACAGCCGGGGATGCACCCCTGGACTTTGGAGAAGGGACTGTTGAACACGTTGCGTTCCCTGGTCTGGGGCATAGCACCGCGAAAGACTTCAAGCCCCGCCGGAGCTGGAGCTTGTCCCCCTAGCTGTCCTGCTGTTGTCAATTGCTCACGCCTCCAGGGAAAGGGTGTCCGGTGCAGATTGAGTACCTGACAAGCCTGCTGACTTGCGGCTAGGAGGCGGCGGAGTGCTGCCCCTCCGCAGCTGAGATGGGCTGGGGACAGGTCTGGGAGAACAGCTGGGCGTACCCGGTGTGACCCTGGGTGCCCTTCCCCCGTGTTCCCCTCAAGCCATGCAGCGAGCCGCTCCACCTGCGCGCTCTGGCCGTCTGGGACGCAGCGCCAGCGGGTAGAGGCCAGGTGTTGGGGACCTCAGGTCCCAGGAACCAGGAGGCGGAGGCGCGCAAGCGGGCATGCGCAGTGGGCGGAGGCGGCGGCGATGGCCCGGGGAGGCGGGGGGATCGCTGTTTATTTGCAGCTGGGCCACCGCGGCGGCAGAGCACCGGGCGCCCGGGCGGGGACCGTGGGCGCGCGATGCTCGAGCCAAGCAGGCTGCCACGCGCCCGGGTCCCGGCCGAGGAGGATGCGCGCCGCGCGGGAGCGGCCGTGCGGGCGGTGCGATGCTGGTGACCCGCGGGGACCGCGGCGGCGGGGAGCGCGCGCCCTCGCGGCGCCCGCGCTGCGGGCTGGTTCCAGCCGGGGCCGCTGCTCTGCTTGCCGGGGCCAGCTGCCTTTGCTACGGCCGCTCGCTGCGGGGCGAGTTTGTGCACGACGATGTGTGGGCGATCGTGAACAACCCCGACGTGAGGCCCGGGGCCCCGCTGCGCTGGGCCGTCTTCGCTAACGACTTCTGGGGCAAGGGCCTGGCGGACAGCACCAGCCACAAGTCCTATCGGCCGCTGTGCGTGCTGTCCTTCAGGTGAGCCCTGTGCGTCCTGGGGTCTAGACACCTGTCCCTGGAGAAGGGATGGCACTTCTGACAGGTCCCTCGGTACCTCCTCTAGGTTGTTCTCCCCTTTCAGCTAGGTTCTCCCGGGTCTACCCCAGGTCCTCTTGTCATCAACTAGATCCTCCCGGATTTATCTTGTGTTCTGGCTGCTCAGCCTGGTCCTTTAGGTTCTACGTTTGCTCCTCTGCCCAGCTCCGTTCTCCAGTCTCTGCTCTAGGTCCTCTGGGCTCTATGCTTGGTGCTCCTGATTCTATCTTAAGTGCTGTTAGGCTCTGTGTCCTCCAGGGTCTGCCCCAGCCCCTCCTGACTCTAGTATTCTGTCAGCGAAGCCCCAGATTCTTTCTGAACGAGGTTCTCTCCGCTCTTACCCCGAACCTCGTCGCTCTGGCTGGGTCCTCCCGGTTCGGACTCTGATCCTGTTGCTCCTGTCTCAGTCCAGAATCCTCCTGGCTCTGCCTCTGGTCGTTAGCCCGGACAGCTTCAGGTTCTCAAGGCTCTGCTCCGGTCCTGAAGCACTACACCGTTTTCTTCGGGCTCTGTTTTGGGTTCTCTCCGCGCTACTCTGCTCTACCCAGTGTCCTCCTAGCTAAACCTAGGTTCTCCCGCGCTTCCTGGCTGCGGAGTTGGGACCGAGTTCTCCCTGCTACGTCCCCGGGGCTTCAGGGATGGCAGACGTGACTTCTCACTGGAGCTTTTCCTACCCGCGATTAGCGGGTTCCAGAGAGTGGCTATGCTTCAAGCTTCTCCAGGGAGGTTGTACTGCTGGGCAGATGAGGAGTAAAGGGGACGGACCGGGTGGCCTAGGATACTCCTGGAGCTGCTAGGCTGTGAGTGATCCAGGCAGGAGCTGGGGAGAGGGGTCAGGCACCTACTCTGAGCACCCAGCTTTGAGTACTGGGCCGCTAATCGTCTCCCTAACCCGAGCATCTCCAGCCCCAGCCTCTGCATCCGCGGTGCTGCACCCGGCCCCGGGGACCCACACTGAGACCGCACAAGGTGGAGGGGCGCCTGCCTGGGGTCACAGAGAGCCCCTTCTCCAGCTCCGGAACCATGACTCGGCATTTCTGGTGTGAGGTAGTGGATCCGGACCGAGAGTACGCATTTGTAGGGTGGTGTATCTGCTTGGAATCCCGGGGAAAGGACCGGTTGGAACCAAACAGCTGAACTCCATTCAGTGTAACTCGGCTCCGCGTTTGAGCTGGTGTGCGTGCAGGACACAACCGCTCACAGGGTATTAGCTCCGTATTAACTCGTTTTCAGATCTTTGTCATAGGAGCCATAGTTTATGGTACTGATCTCTGGGGACAGCTGGCAAAATAACAGTTAGCGTGAGCCTTCAGGCCCAGGGCTTTGGAGAGAAAAAGAAAACCTGCAGTGGGTTTTCACGTAATTCTTTCAAATAAACTAATGTTTTAAAGAGGGCAAGAAAATAACACGTCTGACTCCCAAGGAGATGTTTTATAAACATTTATCTTTGGAAAGTTGTGTTAGTTTTTATCCCAAAGATAGCCTTAGCTACAGAGTTTCTCAGCCCTTTTAATTTCCCAAGTGCTTTTAAAAAAATCATAAAACTAGGAACGCTTCTTTTTACACTGGATGGACGATAAGCGTTTTCATGGACTGGGTGAGGCTGTTGATTAATTTAAGGTGTATAAGCTCATTGCACTCCACATGCGGACTTTTTACAGCCCTGGAACCTGCCCTGGTCCCTGGCCTGAAGAGTTTCCATTTAAAGCGCCAGGGTTGAATGCTTGCTGGAGGATGGGCAAAAGTGTAAGGTGCTGGCTGTCCAAGTGTTTTCAATAGTTTCTAATAGGAAACTCTGCCAGGGCAGAGGAGGAAAGGCTGTGTAGCAACTCCACCTTTTATCATTAGCTTGATTTCATCCCACCCACACCGCGGGGAGGGGGTGGAGATAGTGAAGGGGGCGGGGCTGGCAGGGTTGATGAGCAGGGCTGGCAGAATAGGAGAAAGGAAAGATATGTAACCTCTTTCTGGTGCAATTGTCTAAGACTCTTGCTCTTTGGTTTTGAGGTTTTGGGTTTTTTTTGTTGTTGTTGTTGTTTTGGCCTTTCTTTCTTTCTTTCTTTCTTTCTTCCTTTCTTTCTTTTTTTCTCTCCTTTTCAACTTGTCACAAGCTAGGGTCATCTAGGAAAAGGGAAACTCAGTTGAGAAAACGATGCTCTCATCAGATTTGTCTGTAGGTAATAAGCCTGTGTGGGTATTTCCTTGATTAAAGATTGATGTGGCAGGCCCCACCTCGCTGTGGGTACCAAGTGGACTGAGCAAGCCAGTAAGCATGTTCCTCCATGTTGGTTCCTGCCTTGACTCCCCTAAATGATGGAACTGTGGTCCAGACATGTAAGGTAAGTAAACCTTTTTCTCCCTAGATAGGGGTGTGTGTGTGTTGTGTTGTGTTGATCACAGCAATAGATAGCCAATAGAGACACAGAAAAACCACCCCCTCCCTTGTAATGGGCCAATTGAGTTGTAAGTCTAGAGAACAGCAGATTGTGACTTGAAGTAGTTAGCTCATTTGGAAGAGAAAGCAGCGCAGTCCCCTCTGCTCCTATGGTCACTTTCAGTTAGAGTGGCCAATTCTTCTACAGTAAATGAGGTGTGCCCTATGTTCTAGTGCAGCTGCAAGAAGCTCAAGATCCTTGAAGACTTCAGACACTTTTAATAGGTTTTTTTTTTCTTTTTTTTCCTCTTTTCCTTCCCCCTTCCTCCTCCTCTTCCTCCTCCTCCTTTTTTTTTTTTTTGGTTGTATTTTGTTTGTTTGTTTCTTGAGATATGCTCTCATTCCGTAGCTTGGGCTGGCTTGGGATTCACTATGTAGTCCAGGCTAGCTCTTTAATGATCATAGTCCTGCCTCAGCCTCCTAAGTGCTGAGATTACACATTCAGTGAGCCACCATGCTTAGTTAGATCTACGTAACTTGAACCTGCAAGAAGGGATGGAAAACTACTTAATTTGGTATGAATCAACCATTGGCCTAGTGTCTGACTGGTTTTTATGTCAACTTGACACAAGCTAGAGTCATCTGTGAGAGAGATAACTTCAATTGAGAAAATGCCCCCATAATATCTGGCTGTAGGTGAGCCTCAAGGGCATTTTCTTAATTAGTGATTGATGTGGGAATATTCAGCCCATTGTGGGTGTTTCCACCTCTGGGTTAAGTGGTTCTGGGTGCTAGGAAATTAACATTGATATAATCTATGAGATAACCCCACCCCCAAAATTTCATCAGCTTTCGAATGCGTATTTTATTTATCTTGGTGTATATTTAGTTCTCTGCAGTTTTATGGCAGGCATTAGTTTCTGAGATTCTACTACAGTCACAATGCCTAGAACACTTCCATTTTATGGAACCTATATTTCCTCATTGTAGCAAAGCACCTAAGATCTAACACCTAATCAATAAAACTCCCACTTGACCCATGACCATCACTAATTCTCTATCTCTATAGTTTTCTACACAGCAAAATTGCTTAACATATACTTTATTGAGATTGCTCTCGTGCTTCCCCCCCACACCCGCCTCAGCATTTCTCTGGAGCTTTATTCAGATGTTTGTGTCCAATTAAGAGTTAATTCCTTTTCACTTCTGAGTGAAAAGTGAAAACTGCCTGGGAGATAGTAACTCCCTTAAGAACAAACATAGTCAAGTGATACATAATTCTTTTTTTCTGGATGAATGTTCTGTGTAAAGAATAACAGCTGCTCTTGTTTAGTAAACAGCCTGATCGTGTTTCTCACATAAAGGATTAAGTTGACTAAGGAAAAGTTTACCAGATCATAGTAGTTTCAGGGTCCAGAGCAAAGAAACAAGGTGTGATGGGGTGGGATTGTACTCCGTCACTTTAGCTACCTACATTGGGACTGTTTCTAGAACCCCCTTCCCAGGGTGACTCTGTGTTAGGGCTGGCCCTGAGAGACTTTCTGAGGGGTCTGGAAGGTGGGAATGGAGTGGCCGTGATCAGGCTGAGAAGGTTGGTGCAGGTTACTGTGGGGTTCTCACATGGACTGAACAGGAAGTGCTGACTCCTGGTGGTGACTCCCTCAGCTCCTCCTCAGTTGCTGAGGATACCAGCACAGGTGTGAACAGCAAGAGTGGAAGAGTCAGGCCTTCTGCAAGTTCTCCTTGTCAAGATGGAGCCCCAGGGCTGTGAAGACAGGGTATTCTGGCATGTGGTATCTGTGGTGCTAGCTCATCAGCCCTCATGGCCAGTCAAACGCTCCTAAGCAAGGAGGTGCAGTCTTCTCAAACACTCCTGAGCAAGGACATGCAGGAATAGTTATAGACGGAAGTAAAGGAGAAGAAAAGCATGTTTCTCTTACGCTACAGACCTCACATTCATTTGATTCTGCTTCTGTTCTTACTTTTAATTTCTTTTTTATTGGTGTTTATTCAGTGTACATAACTGGGGTTGGGGGGGTCTTCACACAGACTGTTTTCACCCAAGTGTATCCTGTACTGTCACTGAATCCAGCCCATATCCTCCCCTTTGTCTTCGATGCCCCTACCTCTTCTCCAAGCTCACCTGCATGCCGAGTGTGTGTGTGTGTGTGTGTGTGTGTGTGTATTATATATCTCTATAAAATCCAAGATCCACCTACTAGAGAAAACATCTGATAAATTGTCTTTTCTGGTCTGCAGTTGCATCCATTTTCCTGTGAAGGACATAATGTCATTCCCTACCCTGGTCACTACCTCTGAAATCAAGGAGGAATTCATTAAACTTCTCTGTAGATACTGAACTGACAGAACCGAAGGCCACAGTACCCATAACGCCCCTTGAAAATTGCTTTGATTGATTTAAAAGGTACTTAGCGTTTTCATTTTATCCTCTTTGGGAAGAAGTTCCTGTGGAAATTTCCATTCAGTCAGTGAGTGGAACCTGCCTGAAGAGCCCCTGGTTTTCGACACTGAAGGTGGAGGAAGCTAAGGCTAGTTACAGGACCTTAGA